GGACACTTATTTCATGACCTTTATCAAACTAAACCTCATCATGTATCCAACATAAGCCCCAATAAGGTCACGGGTTTTAATCTTGATGAAGGTGGGATTGGAGAGGTTGGTTCTGTAACTACCTGGAAATATAAGGAGGGTAAGAACATAAACCTTTACCCTCTCTATGTGATTCTGTTTCTTGAATTCCCTTCTTTTTCTTGCCATATTTACATATTACATTTGTCTCATCAAGTACTTGAAAAAGACTTTCAAAAGTAATATAATTGTTCCAAATTTATGTTGTTTGGATCTTTTAAAAGTGTCGTTGAGCATGTTGAATATTTCAAAAGTTATTAATTTTTTAAAGATCTGACACTGGTGTAATGATAATTTTGGAGAATCCAATAGCATAAGTTCCATTTATACTGTGTTTCACATAACTTTTAGAAAATAATATGAAAAAGTGATAAGAAACATAATAAATGAAATAAATTAAAGATCAGTGATATCCATGAAAATCTCGCACATGATATGTGATGGATTCTTAATGTCAACCTTCTCCTTCCCATGTCCCTTCTCCACTGTGTAATTAAGAAAAACTTAAAAACCAAATATTAATTTTTATTTTGTAAAAGTTTATATCTTTTGCGAGAAATTGAACCGTTGAGCTAGGGTTAACGTCTCTTTATATTTTTGGATCTCTTTTTATAATGATTATAGATGAAAATGTGAAGATTGCTAAGTGTGTCATTGAAGCCATTGATGATGAAAAGAAATCAAGCACTTGGAAAGTGATAGGAGGAGACCTCCTAGAAGTATATAACGCTTTCATTGTTAACATATCCTGCGATCAACACTGGATTACATGGACACTTGAGTACGAGAAGAGGACTGAAGACACTTCAGAGCCTATATCTTTCTTGAGATTTTACATTTATTTGACCAAAGATATTGAGGCTCACCATGTCGAGAAATAGAAGAACTCATTCCTTTTGATATGGCTGATCATATATAATATGTGTGTGTTTGTGCATCAGCGTTGGACAATATTGGCTCGTACCTGAATGTGAAATAAATAATAATGATGTGTTGAAAAATAATAATGTCCAATTGTCAATATATAAAAGATGTTAATTAATACTATTTGTTTGTTGAGTGTGCTGTGTATGAGTATTGGACTATATTGGCTAGTCCTGAGATTATGCTAAATTTCTGAGATTTGGTTGAGGTTATTTGATGAGTGAATTGAGATTGCCCAATAAAGTTATTATACGTAGAAAGAAATAATTTAATGAAGATGTTGATAGTGTAACAATTTAAGGAATAAAACATATAACAATAGTCATTCTAATATTGATTGCTTAAATTTACTTTTATAACTAGAAGTGACAAGAGAAATTGTCTGAGAAGAAATAATACTTTAATTGATATATCAATCAAATAAAAAGATTTGACTCTCTGCAAATCGCTATTTTGCTTATATGAACATGTTAACAGTTATTGTTACA